AAATTTCTTTCTTTCATTTGAGATTTACCAGAAGTGCCCTGCTCATCCATTAAGGTCTCCTGACCCCTTTACCTGATTTCTTGATCATGTGGATGAACTGGTCTTGAGCTTAGAGGAACTGTTGCTTGAATATTGACCGCCTCTCTTGGACCTCCTTCTCTTCTAGAGCCCTAATCCACAGGATTTCTCTAAGTAGGTCTTTGAAGAAGTTAAAGTTAGCTCTTCAGAAGTTTAGGATTCTAGTCCTGCTTACTGCTTTGCTTCCTCCATGCAGGATCCTGAGTTCTATCAACTCATAGTCCCCACAGCCAAGGCTGGCCCCAGTCTTCATGTCTTCAACCAGTTCCTTCTGGTTTGTTGGTCCAGCAACACACCTTTCCTCATGTGCACCTCCACCACTTGCATAAAAAAGTTATCTTCAGTGATCTGCAGGAACTTCCTGGGCTGTGTGTGCTGAACCGTGTTGTTCCTCCAACAAGTATCAGGGTGGTTTATGTCTCCCAGGAGAACCGGGACCTGTGACTGGAAGGTTATTTACAGCTGTCTATATAAAGCCATTTACAGCTGTCTCACCAACTTCTCCTGATGAGGTGGCCCATAGTAAACACCTACAACAGTGTTATTCATATTACCTTGTCCCTTAATTCTTATCCAGAAGATCTCAACCCGTTTATCCCTAGGTAGAACTCGATGCATTCCAGTTGCTCTCTCACATAAAGAGCAACTCTACCAGCTCGCCTTGCTGAGCTGTCCTTTCAAAAAGTACATAACCATCTGTAACAATTTTCCAGTCATGTGAACTATCCCTACCCCACCATGTCTGTGTAACTGCAGTGAGAACATGGCCCTGTGACCACACATAGATTTCTAGTTTTTCTTGTTTATGCACGCATGCGTTTGTGTACAGGCACTTTGGAGAGGTAATCAAGCATGCAGGTTCCTTAGGAGGGGTGTAAGAGGATTCACCATAGCCATAAATACCCTTGGTGTGGCCAGCTCAGTGATTCTCATCTTAAGAGGCAGTCAAGGAACATCTGTCACTGCACTGGCTAGTATGGCATACTCCCCAGAAGGAAGCAGTGGCAGGAGTATTGCCCCTTTAGACCCCATCATCTGAGTCCTCAAGTTTAAAACCTGTCTCACCAAACTGGCCTGCTGCCAAAAATTCTCTTGCCCATTTTAGTCAGGCTAAAATCATTAAAGTACAACCTACTGACATAAAAACCAAAACCTTCCTGATGGTACCAGCCATGAAGCCAGACATTGATCTGCACTGTGTGCCTGCTTCTGGCTGTCCCCATTTCTCTGACCAGTAGGACAGATGAGAAGATGATTTGGGCACTCATTTTTTTCACCTGCCTCACCAGGGTGTCATAGTCTTCCTCAATCCTGGCCTTTTTTTGCCTTGTGGTGTCATTTGTATCCATGTGAAAAAGTAGTAGTGCGTAGGAGACCATGTTCTTGACAAGTTGGGGTACTCTGTCTACAACATCATGGATCTTAGCACCTAGTAGGCAGCATACTCCTTGTGATTATCTATCAAGCTGGCAGGTGGGTGCCTCAGTGCCCCTTAATAGAGAGTCACCCGCTATGATCACTCAACATTTATTTTTATGGTAACCACTGTGAACTGCTGGTGTAGCTTCTCCTTGTTGACCTGGCTTGTGGACATCTAAAGTCTTTAAAACATACCTGGTTTTGATCTTGGATGACAGAGAGTGGGCGCTGGATTGGAGCCCTGCTTTTCTGTGTCATCAGGATCCAAGGCATCTCAAGCTCAGTAGCATCCATCGTAGGTGTGTGGTTCTGAAACCATGTTATCTATCTCTGTTTCAGGCACTCTCATACTGATAGTGATACTGGCTCTTGTAATTCATCCACGTGCCACAACAAGTTATCAACTCGTGCATGCTTTGTGCAGGCAGCCTTTCCTCCAGTGAAAGTCTGGGCATCCACTGCAAGCTATCACCTGTACTGACATCTCCTTCCTTACCGGTTCCATCTGGGTGGAAGCAACAGCCTTTTCAGTGCCTGTATGAGTAGACACACTGGTTTTTGCTCTGAGGTGAGTGCTCACCATTATGGCAGAGACCTGGAGCACTTAGCACCTACTTCAGCTGTGGGCCTACTTGAAGATTTCAGCACCCTTTGCAGATATCTTGCCTTCACCAACTGCTGCACCACATCCTTCTGATGTACCATGCCCTGGTTTCTGTGCTCCCTAGAGCCATTTAAATCTCCCATGGATGTTCCTGGTAATGCCCCCTCCTTGCCAGACTGATAGAGTTTCCAGGTCCAGATGGGGCTCTGAGCTGCTGCTCAAGTGTCCCTGAGCACAGGTGATTATGCTGCTGGTAACTCATTTTGACATGCCAGGAGTATGCATGTGCTATTTGGAGTTACTAATGCCCTTTGAAGGTTGCAGGAGAGCACTACCTTGAGGAATAGGTCTCTCACAAGGACTTGCTGAGCCCAGAGGTTATTGTGGTTTGCAGTTGATGGATGTTGGCTGTGCAGATCTTGGCCACAGCACCTTCATAGCTGCCAAGTTCCTGGTGGCAATAGTAGTCAGGTGTTCAGCTCTGATTAATCACCAAGTTCTTTTAGAGCTGAGAAATTAGCTTAGTATTGCCCAGGAATATCTGTTAATTACTAATTGTGTGGCAATTGCTAGACTGTTGAAAAACAAAATTAAATACATTACATCATAAAATCACAGAATGATTTGGGTAAGAATGGATGTTAAAGATCATGTAGTTCCAAACCTGTGCCATGGGCAGGGACACCTTGTACTACATCAGGTTTTCTCAGGGTCCCATCCAGACTGGCCTTGCACACTTCCAGGAATGGGGCATCCACAGCTTCTCTGGACAACAAGTTCCAGTGCCTCAGAACCCTCAGAGTAAGGAATTTTTTTCTAATATCCAATCTAAACCTGCCCTCTTTCAGTTTGAAGCCATTGCCCCTTGTCCTGTCACTACATGCTCTTGTAAATAGTCTCTCTCTATCACTTATAGACTCTCTTCAGGTACTACAACACTGCAATTAGGTCACCCCAAAGCCTTCTTTTCTCCAGGCTGAACCACCCCAATTCTGTCCATCCTTATTTTGTGCATTCAACAGAGCATTAAAGATATTTTCAGCACATTATGCAATTTGCTTTTCAGACCATGACCTTAAGGCTGTTGTTTCTGTTAGGTGCCTTTAGTTTCCTCCTAGTGGATGCTGCACAACACTGGGAACAATGACAGACCTGCGTACTGGCTCTAATCAGTGACTGTTTGAAATACGTTACTTTCTTTGATTTACTTCAAGCATGCTATTTCCCCTCTGCCCCCATACTTGTTCCTTCTTTATGATCTTAAACGCTACTCAAAGTTACTGCTGGTTTTCTTCTAGTCTCTGTTCAACTTGACATAGTTTGTACGTGATAGTTAAATCTACCACCACCATGGATTAATCTGGGTTTCAGAGCTTCTTATTTGTATTTTTAGCCTTTATTCCACTTCTAAGTTCCTAGTTATGACAACGAATACAGTTTACTACTATTTCTACACTGCTTGTTTTCCTTTTCTCCTTATTTCAGAGAGCTGCTCAGTGCGTTCTGTTCCAAAGCTTCTTCCATATTGGCAATTCTTCCTTTCTGGCTGTTAACCTAAAACAGCCTTCACAGAACATTGCTTTCAACCCTACATAACAGATTTCCCTTAGGGTCCACACAGGCTGCAGCTCCTGCATGTGCATGGTTGCATGCACTGCCATATCAGATTTGTGTGTAGACATCAATGAAGGCTGGGTTAGAAGATGTCCTTTGCACTTTATCCCTTATGTGGTTCATCAGACCAGCTCCATCCTCCAGCAATGACACTGCACTTAAGTGGCCCATCAAAGTACTTACATGCAGCAGCAGCAACTCTTGAGGAGCTAGGACCAAAGTCCTTCCTTGGCTGCACTGAGACTTCTTGGTTACAAAATTCACAATCAGAGAGCCAACCAAGAAATAAAAATCCAGGAAAGAAGAAGCAAAAATCCAGCAGATTGAAAGAAGAAACACTGTCCTGACCAAACCATGACTGCAATGGATTTGGGATAACCTTAATGCTGACAGTTTAAAGGAGGGGTTGTGCAATCCTTCTGTGCCTGTTATTTACTAAAATATTTGTTGCATTTTTCCAGTGAGGGACATGACCATATTTTTGCCAAATTAGAAAGAAAACCAAGGCAATTCATGTATGGTTCCTACTCCCATGTGAAGATAATTCCCTACCATGATATTTTTCAGTTTTCCAGTTCTTAAATCATCTTGATTTTTCTCTACCCACTTTCAAATGGGTTAAGCAAGAAGGTTACCTCTCAAAGTGAGATGTGGTTGGCAAAATACCATCTGGATACTTTTTTCCTATTAACAAATGCAGACTATTGATCTGAGGTCCGTGAGGAACAACAAACATAGTCTCTTGATATTTACCTACAGAGTCATTTGTCATTGCAAAGCTGGACTTTGGCAATTCGTCCTGAGTTAGCCCTGAGATTTGATTTGCAAAGAACTTTTAAATTATCATCTTTAGAAGCAGTTTATCTGTATTAGACCAAGATCAAGTCCTAATATGTCCAGAGATATGAAGCCAACTGTTTGTTACTAAATACCAAGCATACTAAATATAGTTATGAGTAAGAAACTTTTGTCATTGGCTTATGTGATTTTTGAAGAAGACTTTGAATGTCAAGTGTTACATGTCTGCAGATAGACATGGAATGTTTTTTCTATTCCTTGCTGGTATTCTTAAAGCAACAGTTTACTCATATTGATAGCATTTACTTAATGTCAAAGAAAACAAAGATCCCCAAACAAAACAAAAACTGTATTTTAGAAATGTTCACCATCATTTTTGTTATATTTTTAGCAGACATCTTAAGAAACTAAGATCTAAAAAGTTGCCATTTACATTTTTTCTACCAGTTTGAGTTATCGTATAAAAAAAGACAGTCTATAATCTAAATGCTTTCATTGCCTTTCTGCATTTTAATAAGATGTGCTAAGGATGTCCATTAAAAAAATAAAAAACTAAAAAAAAAAATTAAATATTTACTGCTTTGTGTAACTATCTACTGTAGTTGGACTCAGGAAAGGTACAAAAATCAATTCACAGTCTGTTTTTACTCTATAACAGTAATCCACTGCTAAAACATAGAAAGGTGACTTCTCAAATATTTTCTGAATTTTTTATGTGTGTTTATGACACTTGAAGCAGGTTAACAGTCCCTAGGAAAGCTCTGCTGTCCCTACTGAGGAAATAGAAACTCTCTGGAGCTACAATTTTTCATTCCTCCATTTTTCTACCACAGTCTGACAAGTCTAGCTGGAAAGTGTGATAGTGAAGGTGGCATTAGTAGAAGAAAAGAGAAACTACAGTGACAATAAATCCATAAATGGAGAACTGGTCCTATGTCATGGACTGCTCCATAAGACTTTTATCTCAAGGCACTGGCAACAATAGCTATATTAGCAAGACAAAACAGAAGTCTTTGTGCTGCTATGGCTTCCTTCTCTAGTAGAATAAACATTATCTGTGAAGAAAAAGCAACTTTCTTGTCTCCATGAGGAAGACTATCACTGAGGAGGAGACAGAGGAAGGTAAACTAAAACAGCTGCACTCATCAACTCTTTACACTGGGGTGTTCTCCAGTGTCCCAGTCACTGATCCCACAGTTTCATACCATACTTGGTTACAAAACCTGAAAAAATTACTTAAAATTTGCTCCAATATTAAGGGGATCTATATTTAAGAATAATCATCAAAGGTTAGTGGATTAAACAGAGAGGTCTTACATCTTGTACCTCCTTTTCCCTGTTTCCCTTCTCCTTCTCTCGCAGGCACAAACCATGATTGTACAGCAACAGCTACATCATCTGGAGACTTTGAAAAATCTGAATACCCCCAGAAGCATGTCAGAAAGGGCATCCCACAAAACTGGTGAAAAGTTACTTGTATTTCATTAACACTACAAGTCGATACTCAGCTGTAGGCTGGGGTAAATACTAGTGACTTTTGGACAAGGAAAAATAGTTTTTATGTTTTAAGGGATGATTATGTTTATAAGGGTAATGGTTGAAAGATGAGCTCTAGTACATAGTGGTATCCATACATAAGTGTTTCACAGGATCACAGGGATTTAGGCAGTGATGTGCTGAAGTCTTGTCAATCAGTCATTTTTCTGAGGGTTTATGATTTTCCCAATGAAGAGGACAGTGTGGGTGACTTTATCCAGAATCACCAGGAGAAAGGGCCTGTTGAATTTGACTCGGGGCGGACGAGGAAAATCACCAGATCTCCAGGTAACCTCCATCACTGTGACCCCTGTTGCTTCAGTGCCATTCTCATGAACATTCAGCATGGCTTTGTGAATCACCTGCAAGGAACAAAGCAAAAGGGCCTCCAGCTGACAACCCAGCCAGAAGAGAGCAGTCTGCCACCCTCTTCACTCTTGGCAAAGGGAACCCTGCCTGGAGTGAGATCCAGCAGCAGCAGCAGCTTCTGGGAAGGTCATCACCAGTTGCTCCCCTTCCCCCTGCAGTGCCAACAGCCATCACTGCATGCGCAGAGAGTAACCCTCAAACTGCAGGCAGCCAAGGAGCAGTCAAGATGACTGATGGCAAGAAACTCTGGAAGGGAAGAAACCTGGTAATTTAGCCTAGACTCAATTTTGTCTTTGGCAGCTTCATGTACTATTGTGAATTTACCCTGTCATCTCGCTGAAAAAAATAACTTTTGGAGAACACTAGAAGGGAAGGAATAATAGCCTTTTGCCCTCTGTAGGAGGAATTAGGGGAATTTTTACCAAAGCTAATGTGCTACATTTAGATAATTTTGTTTAGTAGCCAAAAGAACATTTAATTACATGTATGTCTTCTTCCTTGTCCTGGAACCATGCATTTCTAACCCCTTGTATGCATGTTTGGCTTCAGGTTTATGAAAGACAGGGCTTGCTTTGTCTCTAGACTGGCAACTGCTGATGACTGAGTGATGCTTCAGAGAGATTGGGATAAGCTTTTCCTGGAATATTAATGTCAGGTTCCTTGGAACAGACAAATATTGTGGCTGCTTTCATATGCTTACTTACTTTTGAAACCATCAGTCCAGGTTCCTCAGTAATCCCAGACAGATCAGCTTGGTCAGTGAACAGATCGATCATACCCATTTGTTTAACTATCCTTTTCACATCATAGGTACCAGAAACAGAAAATTTTGGAATGTGCAGATGTATTTTTCTGTAACAAACAACACAAATAAAAGCAAATTGTCATCTAGGTAATAATCTTTAGTGGCTTCAGTATACTGACACTTCACATTTGTTTTTCTAAATGTAAATAGTCTTCTCTCAGGGTCCAGATACCAGTTATGATCAGGTTAGCTACTTAATGTGAAGGGTTGGAGCAGAATGAGCCTGTTATCCCCTGCTTCCACAGTGGGGTTCAAGGAGTGGGGGGAAAGACACAGCTATGCCAACTCAGTGACAGGCAGAGCTACTACTGCCAAGTAGGATCATATTTAGATCATATTTAGCTGCCCTAAGGCTGTTCAAATATACAGCAGGGCCTGGGCCACCACAGAAATAGCTGCAGTAATGGTGAATTAGTCTGCTTTTACATACAGCGTCCATAACACACTAACATCCAACAGATTCTCTATTGTAGTTTCCCAATGCTTGTAGGAAACAAGGGTCTGTTAACTTGATCATGTTGCTAAGTAACTTTTGGTTGAACCAGGAACTTAACTCAAGATGGATCCCAAGTTCAATGCCCTACTTCTTCACTAGCCACAGCTCTTTTTCATTTTCCAGCTAAGAAAAGGGAAGTCCACACAGAGGACAGTAACTGTAAAGAGTTCAATAGAATAACCTGGCCTTTATTGCTTTGTCTTAGCAAGATAAACACTACAAATCTGTGGCATGGTCACCTCTTACCTTAGCAAAAAAATCTTACCTGTCTTGGAGGAACTTTTCCCATTTAGATACAGTCTTTTTCAAGAGAGCATCTTCCACCTGCTTCATCTTCCCTTCGTCAGGCAAAACAAATAATGCTGCAACATCTCCTTTGTAAGGTATCTGAACCAGCCAACAGGACAGCTCTTCATCAAAGTAATTTCTGTAGTAACCTTTCCGATACATCATGTCAACTTTTACAGATGTTTTCTGATCCACAAAAAAATCCTCCTGTCTTGTGTATAATGTACTGAAGGGTTTCTCCCAATGAGCTTATGACAAAAAGGAAATTTATTCAGTGGAATACAGAGAGGAATGGTCACAGTGTATAAAACAGGATCTAGTCCCACAGCCTTCCTTTGATTAGAGCAAATTTTTTTCATGTTACTGCATCCTCTGATGTTATAGCATTGTATCTTTTTTCTTTTTTCTTTTTTTTTAAAGTGCTGAGAAACAATTACAGACAGACAACACTGAAAACACTGTCTTTCACTGGAACATGAGTCTGTGATCACATCAAAGAATTTAAAAAACTCAAGGAAGATATTTGTATTAAAATTTCACTAAACCAGGTGAGGACACATTTTTACTGTCAACATAAATACCTGAGTTTATAGCACAACTTTCCAGATACTGACCATGATTTCCTCAATTTAAAATATTTAAACTACAGTTTCTTTCTCTTAAGTTTTCATTTCCTGCAATAAGCATTAAATATCTAAGCTACAACCTTTGCACCCTTTGATATTTCTTACCTCTAAAGAAGACATAGTTAACAAGAACCATTGCAGTGAGAGGATCAAGATTTTCCACTAGCTTAACAATTTTCCCATTTGTCTTTTCCTCAATATAACTGTTGATCTGATTCTCAGTGCCAACAGAGTTGTTAAAGTCGGAAGAAAAGACTTCAGATTCATAAAAACTTTTGGCATCATCCAAGAACTTCTGTACTGGTTTCAGAGTCTCTTCTATAAAAAGGGCATTTCCCAGGCTCAGCTGGAACTCACTGTCTGAACGGTTCAGCATGTGGAGGAGTTGGCAAAAATTGTCATGTATTTCCATCTCCTGAGTCTTTTTCAGGTTAAAGGCAAGCCCTTCCAGAATCTGTGTCAGTGTCGCTGACTTGGCACCGAGTGCCAGCATTGCAAAGGAAGCAGAGATGCTTATGGGTGAAAAGAAAATATTTTGATCTGTTGCTTCCGATGCGACCAGCTTGTAAAATGAAAATGCAAAGTCAGCATTGCTGAGAACTAGTTTGACAAAGGTTTTGTTCTTAACTGGATAAGCTCCTTCCCACTGAGAATTGTGTCTTGGATAATATGTCCCTTTAGCATCATCCTGCTTATTGCGGTAGTGAGGGCGCTGATGACACTGGGCAACAGCATACAAACCAGCCAGCAATAAACACAAGGAGAAGGTGGGCTTCATTTTCCTTTTTAGATGTTTCTGGAAAAGAAATAGACGTACAAAATATGGCATGGAAATTAATCTGTTCATGCTTCAGTAAAGTAAAATGAGGCTCTCAGAACATACTTTGTTCTCCCATACACTTATAATTCACATTCCTGATGCATGTCAGTGCATCACCTAGAAAGAACATACTTGCTAATACACTATTTACATAGCCTAGTTCTCTCTAAAAAGAGGTAATTTTAAACTTCTAAAAGTTTATTAAATTTAATGTTAGCATATTCCAAATCCTAGGCTAAGACTGATATTTTAAAAAATTTGCGAATAACTGGAAGCTTATGATCTTTTCCCCAGAGTAATTGGCAGGACTTGGTTTTGTACTCAATACTGCAGGATGGCTACTGCAGCCCTGTTAGCCTTCCTCAATTCATCAAATAATTAGGAAATGAAATCTGTGTTAAACAAAAATGTGACATAAACATGGATCATACTGTCTAGAAACAAAATTTCAAAATACTCTTACAGTTTCTTCAAAGATGAAATACTAGCTCAATGTAGTAAGAAAGTCTATAGGCATCTGTATTGTTTCCACACCAAATTTTTATTTAACTACTCAAAGTGCCTTCTTCACTATCTGTTCTTTCTGGCTTTTGAAATGTTTTGACTTTTTCATAACAGTTATATCCCCTTGTTTAGATGTAAAAAGATGCCCTTCACAGGCAACAATGTAACTCCCCAAAACTGAATGTACAAATAATCCAAGAGAAAACTAGAAGGGTACTTACAGTGCTACAAAAAGGATCTTGATGCATTCATCTGGTCTCATCTGCTCCTTCTTCTCTTCAGTGCCATTGAACAGTGTCATGCAGAGCACCCCCGTTAATCATTAATTAGTTTAAAAAAAAATTGCTGGTGAGGATGCACAACAAGCAGTAATGACATAGATATTTTGGATAATTTGTCCAAATCAGACACATGCCAACAGTGCTGGTGAGGGGACTACGGATAAGAGGGAACAGAGCAAGAACTGTATCTCCTGTTGAGTCCATGCTTGAGGATTGACAGGAGAAGCCTGCTGTTGTGGGTTTCTGGCAGGAAAGCCACAGCCATACCCTTTGGGGCTGAAGCTGAAAACTGTGACATTGTGTGAAGGCCACTCCTTGCCCGGGTCCAGCTGAGCCAGCACAGCTCATGTGGGAGTGCAATGTCCCTCCCAGAATGTCCTCTTCACTTCATCCTGGGAACTGTAACCTCTGTCTCAGGATTTCAAAACAGGGTTTGGACTTAGAAAGCCCTTTTGCCTCACTGCTTTTGACACCTTGTTTAATGGTTTCAGGGCTTTTCTTATGGAGGGCAGACTGGTGATTGGTGAATGGTCTCTAGGTTTCTAACAAGAATAACATATGACATTATCAGTCTAGTAAGACATTTACAGTCAAGACAGTTGTTTACTCTTTGTTTGTCATCACCTATGTCTGAGTATTTGGGGAACTGGTGAAGAGTTTTCCCTTGGCTTTTTAGAAAATATACAACAAAAGCACCACTGCTAAGAAACAGCATTTTTGATGGCACAAGAGACTGACTGCAAAGGGAAATGTGGTCACTGAATACCTTGTTTCCTTGGGTTAGTCTTCTATACCATATGCAACTGAAGTGGACATCAGGAGGACCAAAACAAGCTGCCAATTCACCTTTCATCCAGAAGGTCTTAAAAAAGATATGCTGGTATCACTGGATGATATTCAGGGTTGAACATAATATACAGACAAATCACAGAAGGAGAAGCTAAGGCAGGAAATGAACTTTTTAAACAGATCTGATTGCACCTATTGTACTCCCCTCTGTTGAGTAGAATGGTTTTGGTGTTTCAAAAGCAGTCACAGTGTCATTTCCATCATGTAGATGTAATATGTGCAATCTGCATCCCATTTATTCCACATTATCATCAACCCAAAAAGTTGATGGCCACCATCAGATTTTGAAGTGAGGTTAAGATCCATAATCCATAATCCACAAATCACTGAACCATTGCCCAGTAATTACAACTTGATTATGAATTGTCAAAGTAGCTAGCAATGCATGTGGTCACTGGCCTATTATAGCTTACAAAACAGTGAATAAGATTTACAAGATGGAAAACAGGAACTTGAGTGTTTCCAGTTTAGCAAGCTCTGCAAACATACCAATAATCCTTAATCTTCATTAACAGAGATCAATTTGTTTATTAACAGTGAGGCAGAAAGGACATAAATGAAGGGATGGCCTGAAGGATGACTCCTTTTTGACTGGAGAGTCATGCAACACCTCATGCTTGCAATGAAATGCTGTAGTATCTCTTCTCTTTAAATAATAACATAGATATACACAACCTCTGCTGAGAATCAAAGTTCTTTCTACTTTGTTCATTAGTCCTTGCTATTTTCTTCAGTTTTTAATCAAAGGTATATTTATCAGGCTCAGAGATTCTGGAAGCAGTTCCATTTCAAGATACCTTTTGCTGCTATCTAAAACCACATAAAAAAAGATAAATGTATGTTGTTTAAAATAGCAAAAACATATTTATTAAGTTCTATAGCTTTGAGAACATCATGGAACTATGATTTACACATTGACTACATCATGAGAGAACAATTCAGTATTACCATATCGCCAGCAAATAACTAATTCATTGAAAGGATTTAATTTTCCGGATTCCATCTAATTCCTTCTTTATCCTCCAAGACAGACAACACTTATTCTTTTCTGGTTTTTGAGGTTTCTTGCCTTTATAGCTTTACTTTTTTTCATTTTCATGCGTAATATTCTACCTGGCTAAGATACTGAAGAGAATAAAAAAAAAAAATTAAATTAAACCTGGCTAAGATATTGAAGAGAATAAAAAAAAAATTAAATTAAATTAAATTAACTAATTAAAAATTACAGCCTACCAGGAAGAGGGAGGGTACCTTCTCAGCAATGTTAAACTGTTGGGTTTTAATGCAGACAACTCTTACAAATGTTACTAGAATTATGCCAATTATCCATGTCGACAACAAGTTCCATCACAGTGAACCATAAATTGGGAAGACAAATGTTATCATTCCAAACATTCTTCCCTCTTCCTTCAGCTTTACATGCTGAGCACAATGCCATATGGTATGAAATACTCACTGGGTCACTTGGAGTCATCTGTCTCAGCTGTGTGCCCTCACAACTCTTTGGGCACCCCCAGCACTGGCGGGGTTAGAGGGAGAAAAGACCTTGGCTCTGTGTAAGTGCTGTTCAGAAAGAACTAAAACATCTCTGTACTATCAACAGTTTTCAACACGAATCCAAAACATATCCACATTCCAGCTACTATAAAGAAAATTATCTCTACTCCAGATGAAACTTAGAAGATGCTTCTCATTTTCCATTAACTGTAGACTCCAATTTAACTTGCACTTCTCCAGCAGGGAACTCAGATATGCTCTTTCTTTGATGACAGTTTTGCTTCATTTGTTTTCAAGAAATTAATATATTTAAATTATAAAATATAAAATATTTTAAATATAAAATTTGAAGTAAAGTGAACACAAAATATATTTCAAACCAAAAGGATTTTATGTTGTGGATATGGCCTGTTCATGTTTGCATTGTTACTTACTGCTGAACCATATGCAGGAGAATGTCTTCTGGCAGATGTGCTTATCAAATGCAAACTTCAAAAGGAATACAGTGTAAATTATGAAGATACTTTGTGAAAGACATATTTACATGTAAATACACACACACACACACACCTGTAAGTACCCATGGTACTGGAAAAAGATGAACGAGTAATAATCTAATAATACATGCACAAGCCTGGCAGACAGGAAACTTGCATTGTCCTCTGAGGGTAATTCAAGTAGAAGAAGAAACACAGGCCCTAGGAGTTGTTTTTAATATGATAAATGATCGCACAAGATGTGGAATTGTTATTTATTCTAGTCATATGAGCAACGTGTGAGTGGTTCCACTAAAGATAATCATTTCATCATTATCTTTGCTAAATCAGAACCTGTGGCAATAATAATTAATGCTTAGTGATTTGAATTGAAAAAAAAAAGGAAGAAATGCTATCTCAAACTAACTGTGATATTTTGATAACAATAATAACATCAAAGCATTTTTAAGAGCTTTGAAGGATTGAAAATTTGCAGATTTTATATGCAATTGTTTTAAACCATTTTTTTACTAAAGGCTAATAAAATGAGGATTTTTTTTTCCATTCTGATATAAAGTAAAGTAAAATGATATATTCTCTTCTAATGGTAGATTCTCTGGAAGAGTTAATGTCTCTCAACCTTGGTGTTTACAGCCTAATCAATTTATTTCTTTGCCTTACTTTTAATATACTATTTTTTCCTTTCATTTACACCTGATAGTGATTCTCAGGTGTAAAATATTTTTACATCACTTAATATCAGACTGGAAAAAAATTCAAATAGCACTTGTTCCTCATGCACAGAGAGCACTTTCTGTGGAGAGTGCCAGTGCAATGGAAGGACACAACACTTTGCTTTCTGCAGCCTATAATAGGGAGCCTGTCCATCTTACCCAGGTAAACACAGGTCTTTTCTAACCTTTCCTATTATATTATCTCACTTTTTCACTCAGTAGGAAAAATCTGAGGTTGGCATTACAGAAGATGGCTGAGAGGTCAAGGACTTTTTTTATTCTTTCTGTTTGGGCTGAGGCTAAACATTCTCCACAGAAGGTGCTTCAGCTCAGGTCTATTGTGCAGGGGGGCACCAGGAGGAGATGCATGAGGAGTAAATACAAGTTGCTTCACCTTTATCATCTTCACAGCTTTTTAAAGACAAAAGTCAATCCCATTTTCCTCATGTCAAAAAAAAAGTGAATACACTATACTGAAAGGTCCACAATAGGTGGAGGAGCCCTCTTATTCTGTCCTGTAAGTTCCCATTCCCAGGCTCTTTCCCATTCCTCATCTGCCTCCAACCAGACACCCTACATTTGGTGGTCCCGCCTTTCCTCAGTCCACCAGCAACCTGGGCTCCCTGAAAGAAGGGTTCCTTAGCAGGGGTCACTCTTGTGAAACACATAACAGACACAACATGAAATGGAAAAACAAAGTATTGAATATCTTCCCAGTAAGCTTATGTTTATAGGCTGCATTGTGAATTGTGCATTGTGAATGAAGACACATCTTTTAGAAAAGCCATATTGATCATCTGGAATTTGTCTGTGTCGGGAACACAAGAGGAACAACTAGTGTGCTGGCACACCTTTGGAATTGCAGCATCACCCTACAATGTGCCACTCCACATATGCTGCCAACTGCGTGCAGAACCACCTCTTTGTATAGGCATTGAACTGGGCTCCTACATCTGCTTCATGTGATGGTCTGTAGCTCTGGCATTAGATGTGGTAATGAAAAATAGCCTCATTTTGCCTTCTTTATGCCCTCCAAATGGTCTCTTTTTCAGGTTGAAGATCTTTCACCTCAAACAGGAGCTGCTCCAGACCTTTGATTAACTTCACCACCTTTTTCTAAAGATTTTCTAGATTTTCTCATTTATCCTTCTGTTATTATAGGACCATGTGTGGATAGTCCACAGATTTAGACTGTGGCATGATTATTTGCTATTGATTTTTTTCTTTTTTCTATCCCAGTAATTTCTAATATTTAATTTGCCTCCTCCCCAATACTGAGCTGATCTGCTACTCACCATGACACCAAACCGTCACTTCTGTGTGACAGCAGTCTGCTCAAGTGCAGCATTTCACCAAACCTGCTGCTAAAACTTAACAAGAAAATTGAAGTTCCTACCAACAGAGTAATAACAAGCCAGAAAGCTACTGTTCTTCCTAGTTTCAAAATGAGAGAGAATTTGTCATGTCCATTCCTTTATTTTACCAGGAGATGGTGGCACAGGGCTCCTTTTCCTATAATCCCCAGAAC